GACTGAAATAAAATTTATTAAGTGAGGAGAATAAAGTAAGATTGAAAATCTCGGCGATATTTTTTTTCCGTATTTACGTACGCGATCATCCTAAACTGTCTCAACATGCTCTTATAAAGAATTTACAAAAGACGGCAATTTTGTCACTTGATATATCTGCACCTGCTGCACGTGTGCTGCATCACGTGCAGCATACCACTGAAATTTTATAAATATACATTCAATCGCGCACAGCTCAGATCTTTCATTTAGACGTATTCTCTCGGATGAGGAACGCTGAAGAAGTTATACCTTTTGCATCCGCGACGCAAACGTTTCTCGAACAAAATTTCGTTTGCTGTAATTACAGAATTTCGATCTCTCTCTTAACGGCATTCTCATCTTACTTTACTCCCCGCCGTCAGAACGGTGCAATAATTTCCGTCTCGTCTCACCGCGACGGTATTTTCTCGTATGTACGCCGAGAACTCTGTACTTTACCGAAATACATAGCTATGCGAACCATGTACCATCCTCGCAGATATATATGTATATATCTGCGACACCGGCAGGTAACATTTGATCGATACAGTATCACCGGTCCGTACATTGGATGTTCCCCGTGAACATGTACGTACACACTTACGTACTAGCCGAAACTGTCCTACGTCATGATGTGTGTACGTATGTGTATATGTACCTGGGTTTTCAGGTGATACATCGCTCACAGAAACTCGTCTCTCCCATACAGCATCTATAGTGAATGTCAATCTATCAGGAGGAGAATTCGTAACACCCCGGGACCGTCAGCGACACATTTTCGTGTCATTTTTAAAATCAAAGTCGCATAAAGAACCACATTCTCAATATAAATCGTTATTTTTGCTCGACCTGAAAAAATCTCCTGACCAAGTTGCCAAATTTTTAATTAAAAAAAAAAAACAGTTTTTTAATGGAGGATTAATCCCAAAAATTTAATATTAATAATAATTAATTTCAAATTATAAGAAACTTATTAAGTGACATGAAACGTTTCTAAATTAGATTTTAGCTTTGGAAAAAGTTTCGCTCTCTCTCTTTATTAATCAATACTACTTAATCATTTATTTCACATATCAATTTGCGTGTTATTAGTTAATCTTCACACGCAACACAAGAATGATACAAAAAATTATTGACCATATTTTATACATTACATATCTTGGTTAATCCTAATATCGATAACGGCTATCTGAAAAGATTGTACAATTAAAAGTGCGTAGATCTTTGATCAGGAATGTTACGACGACAATGCAAACAATGTAGGGGAAATGTAACAAAGTGTCAAAATTGCGAAAGGACCAGACTCGCAATAGTAGCTCTTAACAATATCGCCCATATCGCGCACAATCCGTGTACTAGTACTGCAGTCAATTTCATCGAGATTATATCGGTCTTGCTCGCGTCTCCCAGCGAGAAGATTCCCTCAGCATCCTACGGCCGGAATAAACATCCGACCGCGGGAGAAAGCGCTCCCTTCCACTCGAAACTTTCCACACGAACTCACGTTCGTGGCAGACGTATATATAGCCGCAGCAGCTCTGACAATCGCACCTAATCTCATCTCACCACGATGAGAATCGAATGTTTGTCCGCCGACGTGATCCCTGGCGTTTCCGCTCTGACACGTTTGAAGGTATCCTGACAGCATGTCTCGAGTCGTAGAAAGAGATCGAATTAACATCGATCACGCTAAATTTCAATTTCTAGAAAAACATACCGAAATAATACTGTAATTTAAAACAATTTTAAATCTGCGACAGATAATCCGAAAATTTTATTTTATTTTATTTTTTAACTTTTTTTTAGCGAGAGGATTCACGTTATGTAGAAGCTTCTATATAGGAATTTTTGAGCATTTATTCGTACATCCAAAGCTTTTACGTTCTCAACTTCAACACTGCTAAGTAACAGTAAGTTTGTCGATAATTCCCGTGAGATACTTGAGAAGTTGAGTCAAGCACGGACGGAGATTCGTATCAAGTAGACGATCGCGAACGATACTTGATACTCGGTACATTTACTGCGCACAGATACACGGTTACGAACTTGTTAATGTTAAATTTCTCGTGCGCGAGCCGGCATGGTTCGACGACTCAGTCGATTAATTTCATTCTCGCGAGAATGGTGCGCTGACACAGCGAATGACAAGCAAAATCGATCTTATTAAGTATAATTATAAACCATTAAACAAGTAAGAAACACGAGAAGCTCGCAATAAAAATGTTCAAGATTTAAATTTAGAGAAATAAAATATGAACTGATGAAATAATTATGGTTTTTAATCGGAGACATCTTCAAAAGTTGTTTTGTTATTTCTGATTAATTCAACAAGAAATATCTATTTTTCTGCAGCATTCAAAATGTATACAGCTGTCGGATCCGACTTAAATAAAATTTAAATATTTAAGCCTAATTCTCGTTTCTAATTGGTCACGATCGATTAATCCGTTCATAATTGATTCGAAAATTAAAAAGCAAGCGCAAGCGAGACGCGTCAGCGGACAAATTTATTTGCGCAGAAAATAATAAGAATGCTCTAGTGATAGTGACACGCGCAATCGCGCTTATTAGTTTGTACGTGCGGCAGATCGTTCGATCCCGCAAATCAATCACGAGTTCTTTCTCGCGTGCGTTTTATTCTACCTTCATTTACGCTCAGACATTTACTTGCGGACACCGTATTCGTTCGATAGAACACACACATACACATACACACATGTTATACCTATATGTGTATATACGATTTTTCGATGTGTACATCGTCGCTTCCCGCGCCATTGTGTCGCAGCCGATCCAGCAATTATCGTGACTCCGCGATTCGCGATTATGCGCATCTCTGTAAGGTCGATCGACGCGATCGCGACACTTTTCCATGTTATAATCGACAGCCGTCGTCCTTCACGACGGGATTTCGTACTTGCAAAATAGTAATCGCTTCGAAGTATCCTTAGAGGGGGATCGCCACGATCGACCGTACTCGAGTTTTAATCCGACGGATCTGAAGAACAATCAACGGCAAATCGGTTAATCAAGGTCAAGGCAAACGTGCACCGCACGAGATTGCGAATAGAATATGGTTAAACGAGCCATGTATATATATATATATGCATATACAACATATATATGATATATACGAGACACGTACGTAACAATACATTTGTATACTACATGTACATACATTTGATATCGAGCTCACTGTGTACAGAGTGTCACAAAATTCGCGCGCATAGAATCCACGGTGCGATTTTCCGTGCCAGAGGAAATAACTTTTTCCTTTGACAAAGTTACGTCCGAGCAATTGTTTTTAAATGAGAATAGTTTGAAGCTAACGAATGAAGAGGGGCGCGTGATGAATCTATTTGACTATTTCTCTAAAGATTTTATAATGACGGTGCACGATATATAAATAAATGTCGCTATTTATACTTGTAGCTTACTCTTAATAACAAAAAATTATCGAATTGATATATCTGAAGTAACAGCTAGATTAAATGTGAATAGCAATCCAACTTGCACAAGAAAATCTTATTCGCAGGATAAATATGTATATACAGGTGGAAGACCTTTAAAAACATTCAATCAGTCCTTTTTAAATCCATAAATTTAGATTTAATCTACTTATTTAATCGACTTATTTTACTTTTAGCTATTGTTTCAAAGATATCGGTTAAAAAACTTTCTAATTAATATATTCAAAGTAGCGTACTCACAATCGTTATAAGATTTTTGGAAAAATAGTAAAGCAGGATATATGTCCAACACGCACCGCTCTTGACGCATGCATAATAACTTAAAGTTTCCATTTGGACGCAAAGAATCGTGTACTCCGCGTACGCGAATTTTGGGACACCTTATACATTATCTAATTATCCTAATTGAAGGAGGAAACATTAACGAAAAGCAAATAAATCAACGCGATTTTTCTTTTCCCGCGATAAGAGTTTCTCCTTATTGTTTATGCATATTTATTATCTACAGATAAAAAAATATATCTATATATAGGCGACGATACTATGGCGCAACACGAAGAAGCTTATGTCAAGTATAGTTCGGCGTTTCCTTTTTCCGCCATCTGTCATCCGAACGGGGACTCCTTTAAAAATGTTATATATCCGTACACGACTTTCGAGCACCCTGCAACAGCACGTTTTCTGCGACCTTTTTTCATCCATGTAATTCTACTAAAAATGATTAAAACAATATATATATATATAAGAAAAAGAAAAAAACAAAAATGCGAACGCAAAACACACTCTCAAACGCAAAAACTCTCAAGAGTTTGAGACAAATACTAATGTACTTAAACCATCTGTGAGTCTGCCTCGTCTTTTATAAAGTTCTTGCTATATTCAATCTGTCGTGCATTCAATTCGTACATCCTTATCGTCCAGGCGATCCTCTCTATTGATAATCAATCAATCTCGATGGATCGTGTGGTCCATTTGTCAGTAGAAGAGTAAGTATAACTCTTTCATGCGACGATATATGGAATATCATTGATCGATATTAATCAATAGCATTGAAATTCTATAACGTTTCCTATAATATAAAAATGAAAAGTTAAGCTACACTGCAATGTTCGCGGAAAATTTAATGTAGATGCAAAAATGTAAAAGAATTCTATTCTGTTCCATTTTTAAAAAGTTTTTCTTTTCGTTCTTTTTTTCGAACAATTTTTTAAAGTCAGTTTGGTGACTATATTTTTTCAGATTAGATAACTCGCTAGACAGTACATTTCCTATAAAAACAAAAAGCCACAGGCCATCCATCATACCGGGTGACCTGACTCAACAGGTGCTTTTGGTGGGGATAGTTCCCTCCAGTTCTCTAGACTCGTTACTCGATACTCGCGACCGGTCGTTCGAGATTGCTCGATATTTTACGATTTGTATCATTTAACCGGACACGTGCGCTAATCGCGCGAAATATTCGCGAACGAATATTTCTCACGTGAAATTCTTACGACCGACAAGTGCCATTAGTGCACAAAAATTAACAGGCGCAAAGCGTTAACGTTTATCGAGACACCCGTGCGATATATCGATTTGCCAGTGAACCACGTGCATTATATAACCCTACGGCCTACTCCGGATTTTTGGAGCACTCGCCTGCCAACCGAGAGTAGTTGCGTGTCGGTCGCACGCTTGTGATTATTCAGTCGGGGTCGACGTGCAGGAAACATTTTCCTCGCTCTTACGAATTTGGAATTCCGTGTAAAAAACGAACGGAACATCTTTAAAAAATTGGTGAAGGACCAAATTGTTATATTATAATATAAGATAATAGCAAAGTCGAGACCTCTCCAGCGAATTCTGAGGAATTAATAAATAATTGATAATATAAAAAGTGAAAGAGGACCGTTAACAATATAAAAGTAAAATTAATAAATAATTGATGCAAGAAATTTCTTGCCGCGATCGAGCAGTTGCAAGAAAGCCTTCATCTTATCCAACATCTGGATACGTAGATATACTTTACAGTAAGATGTGCATGCATATAATAATATATTTCATATACAAATTATAGCAGTCGATTTTCAAAATGCAATAGAATGACATTTTAATTATTTATTAGTAATCGCACTTCAACCTTCATTTTTATCTTTAATTATCTTTATCCCGATAGATTTTTGCTGCACTCTCGTTATCATAATAATGCGATAAATAATTATCAGTCCAATATTATTGCACCCTCTACAAAACGGGGTGATTATCGCAGCGAGCCAGCGAGAGACTAACGAGTGATCGACGACCAGAAGCGTTCGTCGCGTGTGGGAAATAATTTGAAAGTACAAACACATTCTGAGGCAAATGAGCAAAATGTTGAGTCAGCGCTTGAGCAACCGGAGATTACTTGTCGATCTCCTCGCTTTGATGTTCGGTCTGGGTGCTTGGATCGGGGTAAACGGCATTTACGTACAATTGCCTCTCATAGTGCACATAGCCCCGGAAGGATGGAGCCTGCCCGCGCACATGGTGATGCTGGTGCAATTTGCCAATTTAGGTCCTATACTGTACACCCTGTACATAAAGTAGGTCTATGTTTCATAACATGTCTTTTAGGACGATTGCGTAACACAAGTCTAACACGAGTGTTTCTATTTCAGGTACACCGTTTGGGCATATGACAAGTACATCATTTATTCCTTACTGGCCGCGGGAGCGTTCGCCTGTGTCGCACTGAGTTTTCTGTACAGTCATACTTCGGTCGTGTTCGGCAAAGAGCACTCGACCGCTCTCCTGTCGCTGATGTTCGTGACCGCCCTCGTTGGATGCACAAGTTCCGTCCTTTTCATGCCGTACATGAGAAACTATCGTGAGATTTATCTAGTGTCGTATCTCGTGGGAGAGGGACTGAGCGGATTCGTACCGAGCGCAGTTGCGCTGATCCAAGGCGTTGGTAATAATCCGGGATGCGTCAACGTTACCAAGCCAGGATCGAGCCATCTGGAATTCGTGCCTGCAGAATCAGATCCGAGATTCTCCTCCCAAATATTTTTTATCTTCATCGGAACTCTATTGTGCCTGAGTTTTCTCTCGTTCTTAGGCTTAAACGCGTTGCCTATAGCACTCGGTGAGAGAGTCAAGCTTCCGAGCAGCATGGAAATGTTGCCGACCGACACAACAGCACCGCCGAGCTACAAAACTAATTCCGGCTGGAAAATGCCGAAACATACGTACTATTATTTATTAGTCATGATGGCTGTAGTCTGTTTCCTCGGTAACGGTACTCTACCGAGCATTCAATCGTACTCCTGTCTACCATATGGCAATGTAGCTTATCATTTGACAGTCACGCTAGCTTCCATAGCTGGTCCATTGGCCATGTCTTTAGGTTTCTTCGTAAATACACCAGAGGTGAAACTCCTGAACATCCTCACAGCGGCTATTTTAGCACTTTCCGGCTTTGTTTTATATCTGGCCGCGAAATCGCCTCATCCTCCCTTGCAACATTCATGGGTGGGTGAACTGATTGTAGTTGTTGCATGGATAACGCTATGCGGTTTAATTGGATTCGTAAAAATGGGCATTACGACGTTGTATCGACCCGATCCTGGACGGGGTCTTTACTACACTGGCGTCGCGACGCAAATCGGATCGTTAATAGGCGCAATTACCACGTTCAGTTTGGTCAATTATGCGAAAGTGTTTGAGTCTTATTCTCCGTGCGAGTATCTTAGAGAAAATTAACTTAGCCCATACTTAGTCTTATCAATTATTTGCGTTGATAATATTAAAAAGATTATTTTTTTTATCAGGAAAGGTATTAGCAACTTTATATAGTATACTCAACTATTATAGTTATCAAATTTTTTGCAGTTATTGGAAGATAAAGTGTATAACTATGATTCCTTTTTTTAATGCTATTAATGATTTAACGATAGTTTTTTGCAATTATTGGAAGATAAAGGTATATAAATTATGATTCCTATTTTTAACAATATATAAAGACACTTGGCGATCGCTTAGGATTTACTATTTGAGACCAATACTTGTCTAAGATATGGATGTACGTATGAAACGATGACGTTTCCTCTTATCTTTACATTTCAAACAATTTATTCATAATAGGTTCCTCATTTTGTTACCTAGAATAGGCAATAGTAAAATTGTTTTAATGTTAATGGAGAAATCGACGCTCGCTACAAGCTAAGCTATGTGAAGAGATCAACGACCAAAATACGAGCAAAATAAAGATATTGGTTTAAAATAAAATCTAGTTTATTTACGTTTTGAACTGTATTTAGTTTTCTTCGGCAACAATAATTTATTGTAATATAAAAAAAGAATAACAAAATCAAGAATTAATTGCTTAATTGTCTTTAATATACTATTTTAAATAAACTAGACTTTATAAACCAATAATCTTATCTTGCTCGTATTTTGGCCGTTGACCTCCTTATATTAAACAGGGAACTGATTTCACACACTGCGTTATCAAAATGTGACGTGCACTTTTTCTCTCACAAACTAATATAATATTTATAATTATCTGTGTTAGGTACTTAATATTTTACAGCTCAATTTTCATTATTCGATCTGCGACAGATTGTATATCAGATAGTGCTTGAGTCAATCTTGCGCGTGTCTTCTCTTGCGATTGTTAAATGCTCTATCTGATAAATTTTATTGAGCAGATTAAGAATCAGCGCTGAAAAGGGGGGCAGTTTTTTTGCTTTCTAACTTTAATTGTATCTCCATGACTCTTTTGATAAGCTTGTGCAACACAGAGTTCCGTACTTATTTTCAATTATCATTCAGTTTGGAGAAGTAACGTATATATTGCATGTGTATATCTGTGATATTTTAAGAATACTTAAACTGTCAGATATCAGTATTCGTGTGAGTGATCGATTGATTCAAAGTGTCGATAGCAATTATCTGTTAATTATCGAGCGAAGTCCGATGAAATCAAACGTCAATTGTTTACACAGGGATATAGATAAAGGAACCGACGATACAATGAGAGACGATTGGCAAATTAACTGTTATTTTGGACATGTTAAATGTGACCGCGTGATCGTTCATCTTCTCGTGGTCTCGTTCGGCGTGTCCACCTGGATCGGCGTCAATGGAATATTTATCGAGCTGCCGCTGCTCGTCGGCGTTGCCCCGGAAGGCTGGAACTTGCCCGCGTACATAGTAATAGTGGCCCAATCCGCGAACGTTGGTCCCGCGATATACGCCCTCCTACACAAGAGCAAATGCCAGCCGAACGAGTCGTCGTGCATACTGTGCTTACTATGCTCGCAGGTTTTCGCCATGGGGCTGCTGATATTCTTTTACGACAGAACGATCGCCATCGGTGGCGAGAGACACAGCCTGATCCTGCTGGTCTCGGTGTTCTTCAACGCGCTGGTCGGTTGCTTCAGCTCGGTACTGTTCATGCCTTACCTTCGCGACTTCGATGACGTTTATATCGTTTCGTATTTCGTCGGGGAAGGCTTGAGTGGCGTACTGCCGAGCGTAGTGGCGCTGATACAAGGCGTCAGTGAACACGCGGCGTGCAATATCCCTCTTACAAATACAACGAAAACGACTTCCCTTAATGCGCCCGACTTGAAGTTCCCCGGGCAATATTATTTCTCGTTTCTGACTCTCGTGCTCGTATTATCGCTCGTTGCATTTATCGTTCTACGATATTCCCCGTTCGTACAGATCAACAAAAGTTTGCGCAATCCTAATTTTCTCAGGCAAACTAAAGTAGACTGTAAGCGACGCGATGAGTCTGACTTTACCGTCAACGTTTATCGCATTGATAACGTTGACAGCACGTCAGCGAAGAATGAAAACGAGATGGCAAACAGTTCCCCGTTTGTCAAGGTGAACAGTTTGTCCTTATCTAGGAAAATTTATTTATATATCCTGATTGGAGTCTGTTGCTTCTTCAGCAATGGATTTTTGCCAAGCATCCAATCGTATTCGTGTCTACCGTATGGGCATCTCGCCTATCAGTTGTCCATTGTTTGCGCCCAATTTGTGAACCCGCTAGCATGCTTCTTGACAGTCTGGGTCATGGTGTCGGACGTAAAGATTATTAATTGCCTGTCTTTGGTATGCTTAATTGCCGGATGTTACGTTACTTGCGTGGCCCTATCGTCTCCTACTCCGCCGTTGCAAAAATCAACGGTCGGGGTAGGATTGATCGTTCTATCCTGGATCGTTCTGATGGGTGTCATATCGTATCTGAAACTCGTGATAGTGTCTCTCCTGAAGCACATATCGTCTTCGAAGGCGCTCTTCAACGTAGGTGTAGTTATGCAAACGGGCTCAGCGATAGGTGCGATTATTTCATTCGTTTTAATTAACTTCACCGATTGTTTCAAGGCGTACAACTCCTGTTCCGCCTGAGGACAATTACTAAAACTCGGGCCTTTGTATAATAATAATAGCGCGAGCTATTTCGATATACGAATTAAATAAGGGCAATAATAAAAATAAGCGGACAATAAGGAGCATAAATGTCCTTATAAAAATAGAGATAAATAATTAAGAACGTGTGTCTTAATTACATTATTAATTTCAGCAGACTAAAAATGTATTGTTCCAGCAGTCTGTGGCAAAAATATAACTTATCCAAGTAGCCCGAGTATAGTGTGCTTCCTATATTAATTTCAATAAAGTATTCCAGAAATTGTATTAAATCTAGAGAAGTTGAAATGCTATATACATATAAAAAATTTGTGCAATGCATTTACAATTTCTAAATGTGTGTATCTGTATATGTATTTAATATATATTTAGCAAAATATAATATATTTTAATAGTGAGAATGCATTCACAATTTTTATATTACAAACTCATGTAGCAACGCTACTTAAATAATTGTACATAAATAACACAAACCCAGTTTATTTTAACATAATTGTAGTAAGACAATGTATCGTTGCGAAAATTTATTCAAATTGTTTATTACCTATAATAAATTTTAAATTTCTAAAGTCTTGGCAAATTTATCATCCTATATAAACGTAATTTACGCGGAGCGTTACAATTTGAATTCTCTCGACATAAGAAAGTCGAATGCAGATCTCGATCGAGATACATACACTTCTTTCGCGACACCCTGTATAGGTGGCGTCGCTTATGTGCGATGTACAGTGATATATGGTGATATATTAGCTGTATAAAGAGCTCGACGTGATATCGCCGTTTGATAACACGACAGATCAAGCATTGATAAACATTCGCGTTTACACCACCCTCGCCTTTGTTAAACTTCCACGTCAGTTTCGAGCAGATCGAATGAAAATACTCAGATTCGCACGGCGCGAGAAAAAATGGATGACGAGAATGCAAGCTGCGCCCACGACGGCGAGGAAGACGCACAATTGTCACTGTTGCATCTCCCGGTGGAGGTTTGTACAGGAAAAAAAAGGAACATCGATTCTCTCGTATTTCACGTAAACGCGCGCAAAATTTGTTTTTTAAAAATCGCTGCCATTTCATCCGTCAGTAGTCGCTTGTCGATCAAGTACAGTGTGTTGGACCTGCGACGGTCAACTCTCTCTTTCGTTCTGTCTCTATCTCTTTCGGAGCGCTTGTTTGGTTGTGCGTTTAATTTTTTTTATTCTGCTGCATTTCAGATATTCCTGCATATATGCTCCTTCCTAGAGGCATCGACGCTAGTACACGGTTTGAGCCTAGTGTGCAAACAGTTCTACCTGATTTTAAAGGATGACTCACTGTGGAAAGCGCGAATTAACCATATATGGCCGGATGCTAGCTACCCGCTTTTGCGTCCCGGTTAGCTCAAATTGATTGAAAGCACCATACGCCTTGCACGACCAATCATTTTTGTAAATAAGTAAATCACTGTCTGTCATTCTACGCCAGCGCTGTTCGAACTTGCGCATGCACATGCAGGTTGTACATCGATTGCTTACATCGTGTTAGATGTTATTTCGTAGTATCTCATTTCTGTTTGTCTTGAAAAAATAAGTGCGTGTTCTATAAAATATTATATATTTTTTATTTACAAAAAGTCGCATCTAATAGTAAGCTTAAGCAGCTCCGTTTATTGCAATAACCTGATATGCATAAAGTAAAAACTCGAACAGATCTTTCGATTGAGAATGCTTGCAGTTTATTTATACTTAATTCAAATTGTACGTATATGCATTTTTTAATACTCAAATATTACAGTACGAATAAGCTTTCATGATATTTATCTGATGTAAGAACGTGTTAACAGCGAGGACCGACAAACTGTTTTGGAAGTTATCATGCGTTGCGATCGAGAAACAAACAGCGCTGTGGAAACAGCAGGATTCTATGGAGAAATTGATAATCGCGAACGCACAGTACACCACGATAGATGCTCTGTTACTGATGCACGTAGGTAGTATATTATGCAAGTGTCTTTGACATCTTTCCTTGCGGGAAAGGGATAATTGATGATAATGATTCTCGTTTTCAGGATGGAACCACCTGCATAGCTGGTGCGAGAGATCGCACCCTGGTTTATTGGAAACTACCCTCTCGCGAGAAGCTACCCTCTCACGAAATCGGGAACTCTGTCTGCATCGATTCCGCGCATAACGGATGGATCTGGGATCTGACGGCGATAGACAACACGATCTACAGCTGCAGCTGGGATCAGAGCGTCAAGTCGTGGATGCTCATCAACACCGGTCTCGTCCAGCAGAGAACTTATGAGATGTATGCAATAGCAAAACTGTTGCTTCGCGATAAGAAGACCGAGCGAGGAAGATAATTCCTGTTTGCGGGAGAAATAATTATTTCTCTCCAAATTGTATTGAATGCAGATACCACGTTCCATGTCGCGCTTGTCGAGACAGATGATTCGAAAACGCGATTCTAAAATTCGCTCGTTAAACCGTATTTATCGCATATTACCATTTCGCGCGTATCATTTTCCATCAACGTCAAACATTCCAGGAGCGTGCCGGGTGCGCTGCTGTGCGTGTCGTCGTGTCCAGAGCGGGCCCTCTTTGCGACCGGCTCGTACAGCAGGACCATATTCGTGTTCGATTCGAGATCGGGACATAAGCCGATCAGGCAGTACCGGCCGCACACCGGAGCTGTTATTAAGCTGGCCATGAATGCAGAGTACATCTTGTCCGCCAGCGAGGACAAGACGGTGTCCGTTTGGGATCAGAGAGCCGGACGGACCATGAAATCCATCACAGTAATTGTCTTTTCGTATTTTTGACAACGACAAAAGGGACGCGCGGTTATGACATTTCCCTTACCAAGTTTTTCTTAGATTTCAGGCGAAGCGTTTCCCATGTGCATGAGTATGCAACAAGATTGGGTTTGCGTCGGGGACAGCAACGCAAAGTTGCACGTGCTAAATCCAAAAAACGATTTCGAGCTCGTGAAATCTTATTCTACCGAGCATACGAAAGGGATAACGGGGGTGCATCTGACGCATGGATGCCTAATAACGAGTTCCACGGACGGCACTGTCAGAATTTCGAGCCCTACGGATCCGCCAAAGCCCATCGCTACTTTACTTTCAGGGTTCGGAGAGATCGCCAGTGTGAGTATCACGCACACATAAGATTTGCTGAAAATATCGTACATTAATTTTGAAGAAAAATTTCGTTTAATGTCTACTTGTAAAACTTGAAATACAATTTGAAAACTAAATTTTTACTGAAAGTAAATCGAGGGAAGGTGCCATAGGTAAGAAACATTATAAAAATATGAACAAAGCAATAATCACAACCGCTTCGGAATTCTTGCAAGATAATACTTAAGATTTCGCATAACAGTCCCAAAAATAGTCATCTTAAAAGTTAAAATGTTCTAATTTGATCTTATTCTTATTTTGTTTTAATCCATATTTTTATTTCTTTAAAACTAGCAACTTACCTTTATATAAGATGCTAGGGTGGACGAAGTTGCAGATATTGTGAGAAACATGCAACACTCATGCACAATAATTGAAGAGTAATAGTCATCATTTGGTTTGAACAGGTCTTGCCAGATTCTTCGGAATTAACACGATAAAAATGGAAAAGCTTGCATGTGCTACTCGTTGTATGAACAATCTCACGTTAAAAAGAGAACTAGAAAACATTACCATCTGTCGAATAATGAACGAAATATTAACGTGGCATCTTCGACCTACTGGCACCTTTGCCCGACTTATCTTATACTTAAATTTTGAAATCAAGTTTTATCTTTGTTGTCCGAATGTTAATGATATCCTTGTTAAGACTGACGACATTTTTACAAGTCTTATCTTGCAATATCGTGAACTTTGTTAGATATTATATGTAATTGTATCTTTTATGTGCAGATGGACTATCTGAATGGCATCCTCGCGATATCCGGTATCGATATCGCGGTGTGGCGCCCGAAATCGACGTGTTCAACGAAACATCAATGAACGGAGAATTTCTGTATGTGTTCTATAGCTATTCTACAGCTAAATTGCTTTGATATGTAATATATGTTCTTAGTTTTTACTAAGATACTGTTCTAACGCGTCTCTCTAATATACAATATAATATATACTCTTCCGCGAAATTAGAAGTACGTATCGTTTTGTTGAAATTTTGTCTTAGTAAAAACTTTACTAACGTCACTTACAATTATAAGCTAAGCGATAATGATAAATATACAATTATAAGCTGAGCTTATAATTATAACGTGTTCATGATAGGATCTTATGTTTTGTTGAGAAGAACCAGAGAAAGACATATATATATTTTTATAGTACAGTTAAGTTCTATAAGCATTTAAATATATTTTATATATTACATCATCATATATCGTATATCGTATTATTATTTATTGTTTTGCAATTTTTCTGACAAGAAGTTATATATTAATATAATTTATTTCATACGCATGTGTGTGTGAAACTGTGCGCGTGGAAACGCGAGAAGCGGCGAGACGTTTAAAGACTCTTCGAATACCAAACGTTTGTTTATAACATTTATAAACGAAATACAAGTCGTTTATTCGATTAACAGACAACTTTTCTTATCTCTTTTCCGTTCGCCGAGATTCACACCTCTCCCGAATCATCGCAGATCCCGTGGACGCGGGATAGAATTCGAACTCTCCAGAATGTCGCATGACGTATAGCATTACGTTCTTATTGTCGGAATCCTTTATTGTCGCAGCTCAACGGACTTCGTTAATTAAATTTATTAAATAAACAAGCAAATTTAATCATTTTTCTCTACATGAAAGAGTCAAATGCGGATTGATCGCGACAGGTACGTATTTTTCGCGATACCTGTATATATATATAGGTGGCGTCGGGTCACGTCGGATACGTGGGTACAATATATGGTACACGTGTTTGCCGCTTCAGTCGCCTTTACTGAACCATCGCGTCATGTTCGAGCAGATCAAGTGAAAATACTCAAATTCGCACGTCACGAAAAACAATGGATAATGAGAATGCAAGACGCGTCTACGTCGACAAGGAAAAAATACAACCATCACTGTACGATCTCCCGGTGGAGGTTTGTATGAGAAAAAATAAAAAAACGTTGACACACGTGTTTAAAGCTTTGTGTCCACGATGCTAGAAATCGCTTCAAGATCTCGGACCGAGAAAAAATTGATCAATCATATTTAAATAATTCGGCAATTGACCAATGCGATTGGTTAATTCTTTTTCCGTCCGAGATCTCGGAGCGATTTCTAGCATCGTGGACACAAGGCTTAACATACACGTGCATGAAATTCCTTTTTTAAAGGGTCGCTATCATTTCGTCCGTTAGAGCACACATTATTGAATTTTTAAGAATAGATTGCGATCAGAATTATTCCGTTTTTTTTCTAGAAATCATAATAAAAATTATTTAGAAAATAACTATACAATTCCGATCGAAATCCATTCCAAAAAGTTCTGTAGTAAGTGTGCAGTAGTCGCTTGTCGCATGAAGTAAAGTGTATGGAACTAGTGACGGTCGACTCTCTTTTTCGTTCTGTCTCCATCTCTTCTGAAGTATTTTTTTGGTTGTGTGTTTAATTTCTTTATTCTGCTGCATTTCAGATATTCCTTCATATTTGTTCCTTTCTAGATGGGGTGACACTAGTACACAGTTTGAGCCGAGTGTGCAGTAAATTCTACCTGATTTTAATGGATGACTCACTGTGGAAAGCGCGAATTAACCATATATGGCCGGATGTTAGCTACACGCTTTTGCGTCCCGGTTAGCTCAAATTAATAGCACCTTACGCCTTGCACGACCAATCCTATTTGTTATTATTAACAATTGTTTATACAAAACATTCTCTATTACATTTTACGCCAGCGATGTTCGAACTCGCGCATGCAGGTTGTACATTAGCTGCTTACCCACGTGATTTTATTTTGTAGCATGTTCATTTCTGTTCGTCTTAAAAAAATAAGCGTGTTTTGCAAAATATTATATATTTCTTATTTACAAAAAGTCGCATAAAACAAGCCTGAGCAGCTCCGTTTATTGTAGTAACCTGATACATATAAAATAAGAACTTGAATAGATCTTTCGATCGACAATGTGCTTGTAGTTTATTTGTACTTAATTCAAGTTGTATGTAAATGAATTTTTTGTACTCAATATTATAGTACGAATAAGCTTTCGTCGTATTTCTTTAGTATAAAAAGTTAGTCATTACAGCGAGGATCGACAAACAGTTTTGGAAGTTGTCATGCATTGAGATCGAGAAAGAAACAGCACTGTGGGAACAGCAGGATTCTATGGAGAAATTAGAATTTGGCACTACGATCTTGGTAGATGTTATATTACTGAGGAACGTAGTAAGTAGCATATTGTGTTAAGTAGACATTTCTCCTTGTGGAAAATGATAATGATGATGATTCTTGTTTTTAGAATGAAATTACTTATATAGTCGGTGCAAGTGATGACAACTTAGTTTATTATAAACTTCTTTCTCACGAGGAAATACCCTCTTGCAAAGGCAAGAAGTATAGCAGTCAATCAATATTCGCGCACAACAGTGCGATTCGCGATCTGACGGCGATAAACAACACGATCTACAGTTGCAGTTTTGATGAAACCGTCAAGTCGTGGGAACTCACGAACACCGGTCTTCTCTGGAAGAGTACTTACAATTTGTACGTAATAGTAGAACTGTTTCCTTTCGGCCGTTTCGCGATAAGAAGATTGAGCGAGGAAGATGTTTCCTGTTTTGGGAGAAATAATCGTTTCCCACCAAATTATTCAAATGCAAATAATTCGTTCCATGTCTCGCTTGTCGAAACAGATAATTCGAGAACGCGATTCCAAAGTTTATTCGTCAAACTGACTTTATTGCATATTTTATTATTTTACTCATATTATTTTTAAATATTCTAGGAGCGTGTGACCTTTATGAAGAGAGCGCCGCACTAGTTGAATTTTGAGTTCTTTTTGACTGTATATATTGGACCGCAATTGTGCTAATTTGTTCCACAGTTAGACAATATTTTAAATATTTAAGGAAATTAAAAAAGCAAAACTTTATTCACACCACGTTATTTACCGAATGCGTATATATGAGGCTTTCGCCACATAAATTTAGAACAATAGATAAAAATATAAAATTCAAAAAGTGCAAATTTATTTTTACAGACATAGGGAGGACAGATTAGATTCGTCGTTATGGTGTATGTCATCGTGCCGGGAGACGAATCTCTTTGCGACCGGCTCATTCTACGGGACAGTACACGTGTTCGATTCAAGATCGGGAGATCGATCGATCGCGACGTATCGGCCACACTCCGTAATCGTGACTAAGCTGGCCATGAACGCGGAACACATCTTGTCCGTCAGCAAGGACAACACGATGTCCGTTTGGGATCAGAGAGCCGGACGGACCATGAAGTCTATCACGGTAAATGTCATCCCATATTTTTAACATCGAGAAACGAAACGCGATTACGATGTCGAAGGCCTACCTTTTATAGTTCCCAGGTGAAGGAGTCCCCATGTCCGTGAGTATGCGACGAGATTGGGTTTTCATTGGCGACAGCAGGGCGAAGTTACACTTGGTAAATCCAAACAATTTCGAGGTAGTAGAATCTTATTCCACCAAGCATACGGAAGATATAACGGGGGTACGTCTGACGCACGGATGCCTGATAACGAGTTCCATGGACCGTACTGTCAGAATTTGGAGCCCTACGGATCCGCCAAAGCCCATCGCTACTTTACATACCAAGTTCGGGATCTTCAGCGTGAGTATCATACGCGTAAGATTTGCCGAAATTATTGTATCATAGACTTTAAAGAAAAAATTGGATAAAGTTCCGAAAACGGCTCCCCTCCGATTTCGATAAAACTTTGTGAAAAGCTTCGTCTTGGGTTAAAATGAAAGCCCTTAAAAGGAATTTTGGCGACTCCTATGATAAAGTACTTTTTTAAGATAAAATGATAAAAAATATAAGAAGACTTTCATAATTCTATGAGCTAACCCACGTGGATCAGTGGGGTGCTTTAGACAGTAAAAAAGTGGGTAAAGCGCGTCAACTAACCCATGTGGGTCATTGGGGCGCTGTAGACAGTAAAAAAGTAGGTACAGCGCAGCACCTTACTTATGTGGGTCAGTGGAGCGCTGTAGACAGTAAAAAAATAGGTAAAGCGCGTCAACTAACCTACGTGGGTCAGTGGTTCGCCTTGAACAGTATCGAATGCGTAAAGCTAACCCGCGTGGATCAGTGGCTCGCGTTGATCAGTACCGAGTGTGTAAAGCGCAGCATCTTACCCACGTGGGTCAGTGGTTCGCGTTGAACAGTATCGAGTGCGTAAAGCTAACCCACGTGGGTCAGTGGTTCGCGTTGAACAGTATCGAGTGCGTAAAACTAACCCGCGTAGATCAATGGCTCGCGTTGAACAGTATCAAGTGCGTAAAGCGCGTCAACTAACCTATGTAGGTCATTGAAATCGGTGAGGTCGCCCTTAATCTAGACATTTACCATGTGTTTTTTATCTAAAGGGAACCTATTCACAAAGTTTTACCTAAATCGGAGCGCGGACATTTTCGGAAGAACAGCCCTATATTTTTTATCATTTTATCTTAAAAAATGGCTTTATTATCGGAGTCGCCAAAATTCCTTTTAAGGGCTTTCATTTTAACCCAAGACGAAGCTTTTCACAAAGTTTCATCGAAATCGGAGGAGGACCGTTTTCGGAACTCCACCCAAAAAATTAAGTGTCTAAGTGTAAGTGTAAAGCGAGAAATATAGTTCAAAAATTAAATTTCTATTTACATTTACAATTTGAAATCAAGTTTTATCTTTGTCTCCCGAATGTTGGTGAAGTCTTTAATTGTAACAAGTCTTATTTTACAATATCTGGCACTATGTTAAATATTATATGTAATTGTTCGTGTGCTTTATGTTTCAGATGGACTACCTGAATGACACTCTCGCGGTATCCGGCTGTAATAAAATCGTGGTTTGGCGTCCGAAAACGACCTGTAAAACGAAACATCAACTGTTATAACGCGTCTCTCTAATATGCAGTGTATAATAAATGCCGTTTTGTGAAATTGGAAATACGTGTTGTTTTGTTGAAATTTCATTTTAGTAGCAGCTTTTTACTAACATAGCTTACAATTATAAGCTGAGCGATAATGATAACTATAAATATAAGCTAATTATACACAGTAAAAAATTTAATGTCCCAGAAAGTCCACTCTAAATTTTGTGTTAAAATAACTCATGCATTGTGTTATTTTAACACAAAATTTAGAGTGGACTTTCTGGGACATTAAATTTTTTACAGTGTAATATATTCATGATGGAACCTTTTATGTTGTTGAGAAGAACAAGAGAGAAATATATTATACATTACATTATTTTACATTGTATATCGAATCAAAGTTTGCGTTTTGTACATTTTTATAACAAAGTGTGTTATATATTAATATTATTCATTTCATCCGCATGAAACTGCGTCTGCAGTCTCATCAAGAAGCGACGATGTTTACAGATGTTTACAGATTGACTTGTATAAAGGTCAATCCAGACAAACTTGCATAGCGCATAAACATAAGCATAAGAGAATTGATTGATCCATATGCATGTGCAAGGAAATAGACCAATCCGTTTCTTTATGCATATGGTTAAGCACCTATGCAAGTTTGTCTGGATAGACCTTTGAACGCTTGTTTATAACATTTGTAAACAAAACATAAGTCGTTTATTTGAATAATAGATAACTTTCCTCATTTCTTTTTCGTCTGCCGAGAATCATCACTGATTCTGTGAACGCGGAATACAATTCTAACTCTTTAGGATGTCACGTGACAAACACCGCATTACGTTCCCCTTGTCGAGAACGAAATTTTTTACGTCGCAACTCAACAGACACCGTTAACTAAGTTTATTAAATAAACGTACAAATTTAATTATTTTTTTCAACGTGAAAGTCGGAATACAGATCGATCGAGACACGTACGTACATTCTTTTCGCGACACTCTGAATAGGCGTCGCTCATGTGCTGCGATGCACGTGGGTGCATAATATACACCGGATGCACGGCGGTTCTTCCGTGTTTATACCTTCAGACGCCTTGAATCATCGGATCAGTCTCGAGCAGGTCGAATGAAAATACTCAGATTCCGAGATTCGCACAGTGCGAGAAAGAAGTCGCAGACGCCGCGAAGTTGCACATGCTAAATCCAAAGAACGATTTCGAGCTAGTGAAATCTTATTCCTCCGAGCATAGTCGAACGCGAGGCTCTTTCGAAAATATATCGGGGTTGCATCTGTCGCATGGATCCCTGATAATGAGTTTCAAGGACGGCACCGTCGAAATTTCGAGCTCTACGGATCCGCCAAAGCTCATCACTACTTTACGCCCAAAGTTCAATAGGATTAACAGCGTGATTATCACACGCGTAAGATTTGCCGCAAATATCATATCATTAGCTTTGATGAAGAAAAAAAATCGTTAAACGTTTACGTATAAAATGACTGATACAGTTAGAAAGTTCCAAAATACAAATCGAACGCGTGTTAAAAATTAAATTTTTACTTACATTTACATCTTAAAATCAAGTTTTATCACTGTCTTCTGAATGTTGGTAAAATCCTTAATTCTAACAAGTCTTATTTTGCAATATCAGGCACTATGTTAAATATTATATGTAATTGTTCGTGTGTTTTATGTCGCAGATGGACTATCTGAGTGACACTCTTGCGACATCCGGTGGTTTTAATATCGCGGTTTGGCGTCCGAAATCGACGGGTTAAAAAAAAATATCAATGGAGAACTTCGTGTTCTATAAACATATTGCTTTTTGATATGTAATGTATGTTCTTAATTTTTTATTAAGATACTATTCTAACGCGTCTTTTTAATATATAATGTAATATACACCTATATCGTTTCGCGAAATCAGAAGTACATAATGTCCTTGTGTTGAAAAATCATTTAAGTAAATACTTCACTAACATTACTTACGATTATAAGCTGAGCGATAATCATAGTTATAA